GGGTCCCAGAACGTCTTCGTTGCAGCTGGTTCACCGACCTATTTAAGCTGTGTACGTTCTGGGGGAATTGAGACAATGTCACAAAAGCAGTGGACGATTTGACCAGGGTTTAGCTGCTGGTTACCGCCGTGCTCTCCTCCCCTGCCCATCACATATGGAGTATTGATGATCGGCGTATCATCCGTGTATTGAGTCAACAGATCCCTATTCAGCAGTGATTTGCTCCAGGCCCCAATGTGGTTGCTGGGGCCGTGGCTTTCAGGGTGCAGGGATCTGGGGTGACCGTGTTGCATGTGCAGGTGGCAGAGCTGGAAGGAGATGGCCAGGGCGAGGGGATGTGAGGGATGGCCCATTCCCCAGCACTTCTTTTTTTTTTTGAGACGGAGTCTTGCTCTGTCACTCAGGCTGGAGTGCAGTGGCACCATCTCAGCTCACTGCAACCTCTGCCTCCTGGGGTCAAGCAATTCTCGTGCCTCAGCCTCCCTAGTAGCTTGGATTACAGGCGTGTGCCACCATGCCCAGCTAATTTTGTATTTTTAGTAGAGATGGGGTTTTACCATGTTGGCCAGGCTGGTCTTGAACTCCTGACCTCAAGTGATCCACCTGCCTCGGCCTCCCAAAGTGCTGGGATTACAGGTGTGAGCCACCAAGACTGGCCCCCAGCATTTCTAAGTTGAACTTTCAAACCTCATGAAGGCTGAGATGAGCCCCAGGCAGGGCCAGGAGACTCAGCACCCCGAGACTCAGCGCCCCAGAGCCATGACCCCGCCTGATGCTTTCGACTTTGAGACGCATCCTGCATGCTGGGCCAAGAGGGTGGGTCCCCACGGTGCCATCAGATGCTGCCCGCGGGACGGTCTCAGTGGGTCCTGAGACTGGGATACCCGCCTCCTCCAGTCCCGTCTACGTCGCTACCCCTGTTTCTCCGCAGCTCATGCACAAGTCACAGCAGCTCGGAGGTGACTCCTGCATTTCGTCCCCTGGGTGACCTGAGACAGTCACAGTATTTCTGTAAAGCTGACACAGACCTTTCTCACTCCCGCCTCCCCAGGACCCCCAGACGTCCAGGACGCTGACATTGATCTCCAAGACCGTTCAGACCCTCGGCAGCCTGTCCAAGTCCAAATCTGTGAGTCTCCGTTCTTCATTTTCTCTTTTTAGGGACAACTGATTCTTTTCTCTCTTCAGTAAATACACATGAAAACCTCCCACATTTGAGAGTTAGATCAAGATCGAGAATCAGAGCTGGCACCACATCCCCTCCTGAAGCCCAGGACCCCAGCGTCCCCGTCCCGCCCACCTTTCCCCTCCCAAAGTGAACCTGTGACTGTTTTCGGGAGCCTGTGGCTCCTCACTGGCCCCGTGGCAGGAGCAGCCTCTGACCTGTCAGGTGTGGGACGCGGCCGAGCGGACCGGGCAGGTGGCCTGACCTGGGGCTTCCTGGGCATTGCAGTGCTGGAGGCTCCCCCACCACG